AATGTCTCCAAAAGTTTCTGGTATAATATTATATCAAATTTAAGCTTTTAATTATTATTTTCAAAATCCACTCTCCAAATTAGTCTTTCTTCCAAAATTAGATAATAGGGAAAAAAAAAATTACACAGCTTCCTACACAAAGTAAAGTACCCTAGACTTGCCATTCGAGCAGCCTATGCTGTTGACATTTAAGTCTTTTTTTTGAGAATGACTTCTACAATGACATGAACTCCTCTAGTAAGCCAGGTAGATGTATAAAGATGCAGTTCCTATGCATTCCGTTTCACCTCTCCCTGCCCACTTGTTTATCCTCAGATGATGAATTCCTCTGAGTGTGACCCTGTCCTCATATAGCCTTGAAATGGGTGGCAAGGGGCAGCTTAGTAAAGGACACTGCTGCTAATAAGACTGAGTTCTAACTGGTGCTGTAGTAGCTATGAGCTTTCCTCATTTGAAAGTAACTTTTACATTAAGTATGGTATTCTAAGGATGGCATTCACTGGGAAAAGACTATGTAATCTTGCTAGGTGCTGGCTTTAGAAGCTTAGTTTGAGCCTTTACTCTTTACATTCTCATCATACTCAATTTCCTCACAAGGGCAGGCAGAGAGCTCAACTGATCTTAAGAACAGCAATGCTTAGTGTATTGAGTCACCTTGCTGACTTAAGTGCTGTTATGGAGTTTAATGCTGCATACAGGCCAGGTTATACAGCATACTTTTAAATTCAGTCAGAGTTTTAGAAGGATTGATGTGTTTATTGACCTACTGGAGCTTGCAAGTTTAGTCAAATTTTCTTTGATCTTGGTATTATTGTTAAAACATTGAAAAGAAGAATTATTTGATCTCAGTGTGGCTGTACCTCTAAAACAAATTAACTCCATTACAGTACTACTATGATTATTAATAATGTTATATTTTCAGTAATAGTGCAATTTAAGCTTCATTTAAAATTATGCCTTAGGAGTTCAAGGGGAGCAGCAAAGTCAGTAAGGATCACATTAAGCCTCTTGTTTCAACGTGTGAGAAGCGTCATTTAAATTTTTCAAGCCAAGTCTTGGCATTAGCTTGGGGGAACTTGGCTTTGCTCAAAGAAACAGCCTCCTGTCAATGTCAAGAACAATCCTGAAGAGTAAAAGCAGTGAACACAGAAGGCTGCACTGAACCTCTGAGTTAGAAACAAACAGTGAGCAAAGATTAAGATTTATCTGAGCTTTCAATTTGTTTCCCCCATTGTAGACATATTAACATGTATGCCACGACTTTGCATTGCTATGTACTCTAGCAATGGAACAGAATAGTAACAGGGGTGGTGGGGGGGGGTGGGAGGAGGGAAAGGAAATCCAGGTATATTTTAAATTGAACCCATGACTCTGTAGAGAAACTAAAGTACCTATTTTTTGCTATAAATCTTGGAAAATCTCAGCTGCACAAGTCACTGTCTGGCTATATATTAACTGTTCAAAAAGTATTGTCAGTTCCAAGTGAAATATTACCACATCTCCTAATTTTCAAGTTTAAAGTACAATTTAGGTGACAGTGTTACAGCTTTGACCATAGGAGGAAAGCAGAACATAGAAGACATCAGTAGATTTTAAACAGGAAGAAGTAAGTTCTTGTATATTCATGTATGACATGCATGTTTGTGAAAAGTGCTGAATTAGAGAATAAAGCTCTTCTTTTCTTCAGAGGGCACTGGGAACAGAGTGTAACTCTCTGAGCATTCCCACATAGCCTCAGCAACCCTAATTTGAATGACAGCTTCAGCTAAGAAAGTAGATGGTCACTTCTCCACAGACTACTCCTGCGGGTGCTAGTGCTAAATGATGCAGGTTTTTACTGCAGTTCTGTGGTATGGAAATGCAAATACTAAATTTCATTGCCGAACACATCTTCTTGTAAAAGTACTGCTACTGAAAGTTAGTTGCTTCTGTTGTTTAAAAAATTAATGTTTACATTACCTTGTGCTTTTGATGCAACTAAGGTAGGGTAGTTATCTTCTAATTTTTGTGAAGCTGTTCCAAAATACTTTCAAATATTTTAGATGATCACCATCATAAAAAAAAATCCCAAATTTTTGACAGTATCCTTTATTATTTAAATGTGAAAAAAGTAAAGAAAATGGAATAAGTAGTAACGTGACAGTGACATTTGTACCTTGTTGTCATAAAACGGGAGCTCCCAAGCAGAATTCTATGAAACACTAGTTGCCCACAGAGTACTTGCAGTTACTTCTTGGAAGGCTGGCTAGTCATACACTGCTGGCTTTAGTCCTTGTTTCCAGCTGTTACATCACATAAAAGACAACTAAAAATACATTAAATACTTCTCCATACAAGCAAGTTAAAACCTGCTGCAATAATATTAGGCACTGAAAGTAAAAGTGTTGTGTGCAAAGTTATGAAGAGAAGCAAGGGGGAAAAAAAATATTACAATCTCTCTGCTAAAGCGTGGTCTGTGACATGGCAAGGAAAAACTTTGACAAGGTTTAATTTCAGTATTTCAGCACATTTTAGACATTCAAAACTGTATCAGATGTTCAAGGTTCCAGTTTAGTAACACACTCTATCACAGATCTAACCAATATTTGCTGTTACAGTTTGGCCTATGCTTATGTACCTCACTGAAATTAAAACCCATATGACAAGGAAACAAAGTACTGACAGTTCAGCTACGTCAAATGTTCAGAATAGACAGTAGTAGATTTTTCCTAGATATTAAATTGTCTACGTGGAAATCTAATAGGCTAAAGGTGCTTCCTTATAAGGCCAGAGGGTGTGACTTACTGGAAACACAAATAAAATGTGCGAACACAAATGAATGAAAAGTGCAAACTGTGAGGGTGGATTGAGCTGCCGTTTCTGGAGTTGTTTGCCTGCCTACTGACAACAATAAATTTATATCAGATTTGCATGATATTGAAGATTCATCTCATGCTTTCTTCATATTTCTGATTTTTATTTATACTGTGATCTCAGTGCGACTACATGTTTTGGGTTGTGTTTTTTTTTTTCTGTAGCCTTATTGTTTCCTCAGCTAGTAGACTCCTACAGTTCTGATAAAAGCAATTCTTACAAAGAACTCGGCTTGCAAAATGTATTATGCCGTGGGGCACTATTATCAAGGATGGCTCACCTTAGACCAGTCTCCCATTCTCCAGACGTAGCATTTGGAATAGTCCTCACAGTCCTCTGCTTCTTTAGGCCTTGTGGACAAAACACATTTCTTGCGGGGATTGGTGCACCTCACAGTCCGATGCCGTACTCCCTTACCACACTTTACAGAGCACTGTTGGAAAAAGATGTCTTTGAGGTTTCTACAAAAGTCATAGTTAACCCCATTTTATCCTCTTCTAATGACCTCTGCCAGGCTGACATATTTCAAGACTTCAGTGATTTTCTGACTTCCAATCTTCAATTGTATAGACACTGGATTTGTTAAAAACTAACAAATGAACAAAAATTTCTTACGGAGCAGAATGATATTTGTTGCATTTTCAGCTAAAAACATATAATTAGATCAAAAATTATTTGCCTAAGGAAAAAACAGGCTTTTGGATAAGAAAACATCTGAAAAGTTATGATGAAGTGAATGCAAAGTGTTACACTGAAAATATTAGGCAATAATTGTTCTTCCAATGAAAGGAAATGTAATGAAAGAAAATCTAAATAATATTCATGAGAATAAGATATGAAACAACTTCAGAAAAACACTGCTAGTGTATAATAGATCTTTTTGGGGAGAGAAAAAAGTTAAAACGGAAAAGTAAATATTCTGAATTTGACTGAATTCAAAGTCACTGCATATACAGCATGTGAAAACTCATTTCAAGCTGCACAGAAGGTCTTAATCTATGTTTTTTTCCACCATTCCCACTTACATTGCCAAAACTTATGCCATTTCCTTCTCAAAACATTATCACTGCTTTTGATCATCCCACTGCTTGCAGATCAAAATTCTCCTTTGCCAAGCTGATTATAACTGCAGGAAGCACTAGTGGCTAGTTTCCAATATAATGGTGATAGTAGGAATGGCCATGGGAAACACCTCACTCTTCAAAATATATTTATTGCTTCCAACAAAAACATACTCACTTATTTCTCATCTCTCAAGTAAAATAAACTAACTCCGCAATTTGGGTTTCTTTCTCCCACCTCTGCAAGTGAATACCATTCTTCTCACAACCAGCCCTTGCATTATAAACCTCTGTGTACCAAACCAGGAACTGCTGCTATTTACTTCTTCTCTACCTTAGCATCTGCTTTTCATTTTTGAAAACATTCCCTACATCTTTTGAAAACATTCCCTACATACTGATAGGACAAGGGGAAATGGGTTTAAATTGAAGGAGAATAGAGTTAGATTAGATCTTAGGAAGAAATTCTTCAGTACGAGGGTGGTAAGACTTTGGAATAAATTGCCCAGAGAAGTTGTGGATGCTCCCTCCCTAGAGGTGTTCAAGGCCAAGTTGGACAGAGCCTTGAGTAGCCTGATCTAGTTGAGAGGCGTCCCTGCCCATGACAGGGAGGTTGGACTAGATGATCTCTGAGGTCCCTTCCAGCCTATGTCATTCTATGATTCTGTGATTCTATGATCTTAGCTCTTTCTTGCTTGGGAGTCAAGGGGTGCTTTTTGAATAATAATTACATTCTACAGCAATGCTTCAGGATGCAACATATGTGAAATTGTGTTATTTATAGGCCCTTTTGCCCATCGCTTGTGCTGTTCTCAGAAAAAGAGATGAGAAGAGAGAGGAAGGGAAGGAAATGTCCTTTGCAAGCAGCCCCCTTCATAGCCTCTCTGAACCAGAATGGCAGCAAGCATCTGCTGATCAACATCCCTTGATAGAAAAGTCTGTCAGAGGTGTTCCCACTTTGAATCCAAGGTCTAGCAGCTGATAAATGACGGCCTTAATTCCATTTAACCCTAGTTACCTACCAGTACAGTCAGGACATATGTGATTATATGTGCTTGACCAGTGGTGAAAAGAAACTGTTCCAGGATATGAACTAGGTAAAATGCAGTAGTTCTACACCACTGGTTTACCTAGTCCCTGATCCCTTTGCCAAATCATTGCATGAGGACCATCAAAATCATTAGGCTGAGCTGTGTCACTTGCCGCTGAAAAAGTCAGATGCCCAGAAAATAGTAAGGCGTAATCACTATGGACTATTTATACAAATAAATGCAGCACCTCAGACCAGACTCCCGCTTCCCACACAGTCATGCAGTCCTGGCCTTCACAGCGCTGTGCAGAAGCAGGCTTTGGCCCAAGGCAATCCCTCTCCCTAGCTCTGATCAGGGTCCCGTTTCTGAGCTGCTGTGTGCAGGCTACTTGTCTGTTCTGGGTCCCTTTTCCACAAGTCCTTGAACATGGTGTCCATTCTGTCATCATCCATCTGCAAAGAAATATAGGCAATGCGGTGACAAGAAATTAGGAAGGGAAAAGGACCATCACATCATCTTACTCTCTTGCTTATCAGTACATGCACCCAAGACATACCTGTGTATTTTCTGCCTCCTTTTAATCTCACTTTGTTAATGGACTACTTATTAATCCAACAAGTGTTAATGTTCGTATCATTTCATTCCCCAGCCCATTGTCCCTATGTTTTCAGAGTGCTCTCCTCTCATTATAATTTCAACTAGAAAAGCTTCAAAATACACACATATTTTAATGATGACAGATCACTGACCAACCTGTCTATTATTCTCTGTATGACTGTCTATATGTCCAGTGCATGCCATGCACGTGAAGTCCAGCATCCTTTGAAAATACTCACTTGCAAGACAGAATCACTCCTGTGTGAAAGACTCATCGCTCTGGAGGAAGTATAAAAGCTCAGACTGCTTTGTGTTCCTCAGGGTCAGTTCTAACTCAGCTTGCGTGGTTTATATCACAGCAGCAAGAAAGGCTGATGCACCTTGGCAGAGCCCACGCACCTGAAGAGCAATTGTTCTGGAACATAATTTTCCCTGAATGTTCTGTAGCTCCAGACTATGGCCATATGCCCTTAAAAATCAAACAGCTCTGCCACTGATGCAGTACCCAAGAGTATCCCAGGAGACTTGGATTGCAAGGGAGAGTTTTTAGGAAACTGAGATTTAACAAATCTGTTCCAACCTTCTGTCACACATTTGTTGTAAGAACATAAAATATTTAACTAAGGTTTCTTCATTATCAGTCCAGAGACTCAATTTACAAATCACAGCCTGTTAAGATAATGCAATAGAGTTTAAGATACTTCTTCAAGTGCCAATAACAAACAACTAGTTATGCAAACGTATGCTTTAGTTGCATTTCTGTTGAAAGCTAACAATATTTGTTCTGTGATAATCACCACACTGTATTAAAAACTGGATATATGTTAAGGGTCATGATACCTTTCTGCATTTCTCAGCACAGCATCTCTGAGTAGCAATAAGCAACACTTAAAATATTTCATTTAATAAACTGGATAAAGTACAGAACTTTGAAAATTTATAGTTGACAATGCCTCAGAAGAAGATCAGACTATTCCATTTCTATCCATTAAGAGCACAGTGACGTTAATAAAATAAAATAAAGATCTGCTCAAGTATGTATATAATGAAATACAAATAGTCTCTCAAAAGTGTAATGCCCTAGTCTGGGGAAGTCCAAACCTCAGTGGTTTGGTCTTACTTAAAATGTATCATACCTTGCATTTTATCAATTTCAGTATTTCATCCTTTCCAAGAAAGCTATGTCTTCTGGTTCATTTTACATACTTTTTTCAACAGTATTTGCATTTTATTTACTTTGCATTGTTTTTTTTTTAAATACCATCTACCTTTCCTCCAGATGGCTGCAGTAGACCTATCCCAGTACTTACTCCTGGGGATGCTAGCCAGCTATTCCTAGCTGCTCTCTCCTCCCTTGAAAAAGGTGGCAGGCCCTTTAACCAAATGAGGGGAATTTCTTAGTCTTAATTCCTAGCTGCCACATGGAAACAGGATGGCAAACTCTGAAATGGGTCACTGTGTCAGCCTGGACAGCCAGTGCCAGGACTAGGCTGCCAGCTTGGCTGAGGGGACACCAAATGGGATTGGCTTTGCAGGGCACAGGCTGCATGCTGCAGCTGCCTCCTGGGGTGAAATTCAGAGAAAAAAAGCTCCTCCTGTTTCTTCCATCATTCTACCATCAGAGTCCAGTTCTGCCTACTGATGCACATACAAAGGGATGGGGGAGAGGGAGAAAGGAGCGAGGGGAAGGCTTTCTATACTTCAACTTGCATCAATGTAGAAAACCCGTTTAACCGTGATTTATTTATTTATTTGTTTGTTTAGTTACTACTTAGTGCACTCAGAGCCTACCGAGAGCTTTTAAAGGAGCGAAGCCTTGATTGAACAAAAACCTAAAATATATTATTAATTAAAAGCATGGGATTAAGTCCATCTTTATATAAACAGCATTTAAATTCCAATTTCATAGTACACATCAGTCTGTGAGAACACTTCATGAGGAAAGTAATAAGCTGCTTTACCGAATAAGAACTGATTTAGGCATGGTGCTTAAGGGCTCTTGTTCATTAAAACTCAGGAGAAACAACAGCCAGTGTTTCTGTTTTCCCTGCATTTTGCATTATAACCTTTTGGATGTATGTATTTACTGGACATTCATTGCCAGAGGCAGTCACCTCTCTTAGCTCGTAAGGTTTTTACATCTAGATACTACAGTCTAATTTAAGCAAATCACCATTACCTGGTCTGGCATGGCTGCTCATTGCACTTGCGGATCTGTGGTTCAGGTTGTGTTAAATACTTGCACTTCTTGTTGTCCACAAGACTGATATTCTTGTTCATAATCTTCGTGCAAGAGACTGTTGTCTTTCTTTCACCTAGTAAAAAATAAAGCAGGTATGTGGGAAACCAGGAATATGCAACTTTGTTAAAAAAGGAAGGACCTAGTGTCTTTATCAGATACAGCTATTTCATATACAGTTTGGCTAAAAGAACTGTAAAACCTGTACAAGAAAATCAAAGCTAGCAGGCAGCCTAAGAGAGATATTAAAGTTTGTAGGGAACAAAGCGATTTTCTAATCCAATCTGCACACCACTGTCAACAGAGATTTGCTGCTTTATTCCTGTAACTAGTCATAGGCCAAACTGTTAATCTTACTGGAATTATTGTTTCTTTCTCAACCACTGAGACCCCAGCATTGAGAAAAGCTTGCAGAAAAATAATACAGAAAAGTATGGTTGATCATTAATACACAGAATACGGAAAAGAACGTCAAGTCCTGCTTCTCCGTCTTACTTGAGCTTAGTAGTTCTGCCTGGTTTAGCAGTGCACTGGCAGGTGTGGCCAGCATTCAGCTCAAGGCAATCAGCACACGCAGCCTCCAGTAAGGAGCCTGCGCTATTCCCCGTGAACTGAAGAGGCCACACGACTGATCTGACCTGTAGGGTAATCATTTAGGAAGCTGGGTCCTGCCTGCAGAGACCTCGTGCATGCTTTGTACAAAAACCTTGCCCTGACGCGTGGGTGGGAGCCTGGTGTCTCGTGAAGCTGGGAGCATTAGAAATCAGAATTTAACGTAACACCTACTGCAAGCAATAACTTGTAATTCAACTGGAGACGAATTTTCAGAAAACTAGCAATCTTCGAATTACAGGCCTCGATTAGTAGAAAATCGGTTCATAACTCTTTGTTCCTATGGTTACGATTTAACACTCTCTCTGGAAGTTTACTGACGAAGAGGGTGCGTGCAGGAGCTGGGCAGACTTAAGCACGCAGCGTTCAACAGCGGTCGGAAACGTGCCTGTGGACGGAGCAGTTCAGCTATAAATGCGCATTATGTGTGTGACCACAGCTGAGGTTTTACATGGTGCTTGTGTACGTGAGAGCACATGCAGCTAATCTATCATATACGGCCTTTGAAATGTTTGACAATTCTTCCGGCATTTACATATACATCTGTGTATTCATATTCTTTCCCACACAGAGAAAGCTGTTCTGCAACACAGGAGGTCACAGACCAGTTACACATACAAATATGCACAAAACCACACGCTTCATGAATAGTTTCATCCTGACGCACACTTCAACATTTAAGCAAAACTACCGATAATTGCTATATTCTTTAATCAGATTCCTCAAAATATTTGTTAAAAATCGAAACAAAAACATTTACATAGGGTTCAAGCTGCAGCATTTTAATTTCATTATTGTTTCATATTTAAGCCAAGAACTAAAAGAACAGTTTAAAAGGTTTTGTCTGAAGTAAGAAAAATCTTTCACTTGTATTTCAGAATATTTGCAGCAAAAATCTCTTTTATGGAACTTTGTATTAACTCAGCTATTTTAGACAATAACATAAAATGAAGGCCAGTTACAACAGAAAAATTTGATAAATAAACATTACAGTAAAGCACTTAAATATTTATTTAAGCATTAACATAGAATAAATTACTGTTATACTGCATTTTAAGACTTCTCCAGATGATAGGTAACTTTAGAAATATTTGGGGCAATAATGAGAGATTGTGGTAGCATTAAAATTATTCTAAAAATATTTCAGGAAACTGTAAAAAGCAGGAATATTCCAAGTGAATAGGAACGCACAACCAAGAAACAGAGGATGCTACTAGCACCACGCACAAAATACCTTCAGGAAAGAAGCTTTCTTACCAAACCACAAAAAGCATGTTTATGGAAACTACAGTAATCTGTCATGACACCAGGACTGTTCACAGAGTCAAAGGAGCTAGAACACTGTGCTCCTTATGCTGCTGTTAGGAGAAAGTAAAGCGTTTCCAGGCCTTCTTATTCAATCACAAGGTGCACAGCAGTTTTCAGAACTGCTGATCAGATCAACCATGACCGTCAAGGTCGTAAGCAGGAAAGACACGTATCAAAAATCAATATAGTATTCACAGTGTAAGTCTGACTAATTCCACAAGGTGTGAACAGATCTCTATATGTTGCATTCATTAAAGAAACTCCAAAACATTTTTTTCAGTGTAATTATCTTTTTGAATAACCGTCTTCTAAACCGTAGTTTTAAAGGATTTTGTTACAGCAATACTGTTCGTGTTCCAATATTTGTTTTCACAATCATATTTTGTTCTTCCAAAGTCACATTTTTTATGGTTTATAAACATAAACATAGGAAAAATACCACATCAGCATACTAATATCTGCTGTTGTAATATTTGTTCCATATGTTTCTGGATCATCCTCAACTCATGTTACTAACTGTACATATTTGATCTGAGACACGAGTTCAGCTTTTCTGTAGTTTGAAATGTCTTTTACAGATCATTTATCTTCAATAGTTTCAAATACAGAGTGGAATGCATATGAACTTTCTATTCTTGTTCTAGCTCCTGCACTTGTATTTCTTCTTGGAAACTGTGTCCTGAATTTGCTTTGTTAATCTAGATTTTGTTCCTTCACTACTTGACTATCTTTTTCTGCTTACTTAAATGAGGTTTAATCTTTTCCTAGACTTACCACTATTCTTTTAATATAATTGGGAAGCATGAGACTGAAGTATGTCCACCATTGCATGGAATCATACAGGCCAAAATGAGGATATTAGTATTAAATGTACAACACTGACCATCAGAGTCTTAAATATTAATACAACATGTGTTTTAACTGAGATATATATATACACACACAGAGTGTATATACCTATAAATGCGTATCATATGCACACACATATGTATTGTGTATATACATACACATTTTCAATATATGTGTGTGTGTGTTTTTATACTTTTATTTTACCTCCTCCACATACAGCATCACAGTCCTCCCAGCCAGAATGAGTCCACATGAAAAGAGGCTCCGGTACTTTAGAGCTCTGATTCTCAGGAAGAGGATCCAGTGGGATTGTGTACTCATAGTGTAGACCATAGCTCTGGTCATGGAAGAGCAGCACCTGCAAAATACAGAGAAGGCAAACCTACCTATGTACACAGACACTGTGGAAGACAAAGTTGGAACTGTGAGGACATTATCTTGAAAAGCATGACAGAATGACTTAATGCTCTATGGCCATTCAACTCTTCTGATGGAATTTGTAGAAGAAATTAATGAGTGTATCCAAACCAAGACCATGCAAAAAATTATTTTAATTAACATAAAGGTCGAAAAGCTCTTCATGTGAAATACGCAAAAAAAAATCACCAGAAATCTTGAGGATGATTATGTCCTGTGATTTCACTGCTCTTAAACAGAGGAAGTCTTTCCTAGCTGCATCAGATTTAAAACTATTTTAGCCAATTTCTTGCATTTGAAGTACTTCCTCATCATCACTCCCTCTTTCCTTCTACTAGCTACCAACATTTTCTCCCCTACACTGAAATGCATTAAAACTCTACTTCTTCATGGAGAACTCGATGATTGCAATCCTGAAATAGTGATGCTGTGCTATAGTCAGCCAGGACAAAAAACATCTGATATCAATTTCAATCTCTCTCCTTAAGCTGCACATCAGCTTCTTATGACATTTGTAGGAATGCTGAGACCTTCCATCCTGCCTCAAAAATGTAAAGATTATTCTTGGATTTAAATGCACATTTTAGAAGTGAGCTAACAGATCTAGGGATATAAGCAGGTGTATATATATAAAAGCAGGTATATCTTACATAGATCTCATTATCTTCAGGAGCCTGGGAAAGAATATTATTTACCATCTATATGATAGTAGTCAGGTAAAAAACCCTCATCCATACTGTCATACCAGCAAATGTAAAGGTGATGTTGTGGGACCTTTGGCTGATATTTTCTCCCAGAGACCCCTCCGAACATAATGGACAGTGGTGCCGGCAATATTGAATGTTCCTGAATGCTCTATCTTCCAGTCACTGTTGATTGACTGTTTTCCAGCATCTCGAAGAGCTGCAAAATATAAGAAAAAAAGACCAGTATAAAAGGTTCAGTAGTGATTTGGGCCTCTTTCCTGTTTGGATAATTTAACAGGTAGGTGAAATCACCTAACTCTGTTTGCAAAGATATTTATGGATCTTACTATACACGAACTTCAATTGGAACATGCTTCAGAAACACTTTCTGGAAGGAATGCTTGGCAAAACCATGTGTGTTTAACATTACTTAAGGTTAACATCAGTGTTTTAATGCCTGAAGAGACTGACAGGTTCCAGCATAATTCATAATTTGATCACTGAATTGATTTAAGGCAAAGGCAACCATTCTCTGTTCCTGGGGTGGTCACTTCTATGATCTGAAAAGGCATGGGAAACAACATTTTCACAAGATACTCCTCAAGGTTTGTGGAATTAGGTTAAAACTTAAAAAAAATTCTAGTTCGGAATTCTTCCCCCTCCAATAACTACATTTGCCTTTTTATCCACCTTAGAATGTGACAATACAACTGTCATCCTACCTAAAGACTTAACTTTATACACTTTCACTACATAATTTGATGCTTCTTACAAATAGGAAAAGCTTATTCTTTTTGGCTGAATCATTCCTCTTGTTGGCCTAATTTATACTCAAAAGCATCATCAAGACAGGTAAGATATATTTCATATATTGAGAACATAGGATTTTACATTTGTTTTCTATAGTAAACTGAACTTCTTCTGTAAAGGACTTGTAATTTTGTTTTACTTTATTTAATTTGATCAGATCAGGTCTGAATAATCATGTGAAGTAGAATATACTTGAAGTCACCTTCTGGACAAGAAGTTTTACACATTCCTCTTCATTGAAATTGCATGTTTGGCATCAGACTGTTGTGAGAGAACTTCAACAGTTTAAGCCTTGTCCAAAATTTCTTTTTTAAAGTTGTAAGTTAATGTGAGTCAATCCTGTAATCATCTTCTCTCCTATTCATATTTATACTGTTATGTTCTGTTTCTATGAGAAACATGGCAACAGGTTGACGGACTGGCAGAAATACAATTGCGTAAGACACCACTGATGTGTACCACTGCAGCGCTGTGTAATAAATATTAAGACTATAAAATCCATTAATGCTGTAGAACAGCTCTTTACTAAAAATAACCAGTGATTTTACAAGATTTAAAAATTGGTATTTTAGGTTTAAACATTCTATTATTAATGGTAATTAAGTTTTATTTAGTGTTTAAACTAAAGAGGCCAATCCTCTTCCCAGTGGAGAAACAAAACACACGTACTCCAAAGTGCTGAGGTCCAGTCAGGTCATACTGCTCAGACAAAGCAGCATCCTCTCCCTGGAGAGCAGCTGGCCTTGCATCATTTTGTCTTGTCTTTAAAACGAACACGTGTGCCACAGCACGCAGACAAGTGAAGGGGACTGGAACCCAGCCCCAGAATACAGAAATATGCCAGATCTTGCATTTTCTGCTCTCAAATTCCCCATTTGAGCCACTGGGGTTAGATGAAGTAAGAAAGGGTATCCTCAAGCCTAAAGTTTAGGCTTGGATTCAGGCAGTCCAGCTTCTGTTCTTGACCCTGTTCACACCCCACATTGCGAGCAAGTTCACTGAGTTTTATTCCACACCACACACATACTCCCACTCTCCTTAGCTTTTGATAAGGAGGACTTCCTGTACAAAGTAATGCAATACAGGAAGAATATTCAGCACAGAAGTGTGTCCTCTCTCAGGCTATAAAACAAATCGAGCAATACATCTACAACTAAGAAGACAAACAAAGAAAACTCGGACTGGGAAAACCTACTGCAACTGTAATCAAGACCCAAATTTCAGTGCTAAAACAAGGGAGCTAATTAAAGTGTATCTCTGCAGAGCACAAAATGGCCATCATCACAATGATAATTAAGTGCAATGTATTTTTTAATTACTGTAGCATGGATATACACTCTTCCAATTTTAATGAGGTGTGAGAGGCTACACAGCCATAGAAACACAACATTTCACAGTTCAGCTCTTGCATCTCCCAGTACTCAGTGGGGAGCACTAGTGCCCCAATCCTGGTCTTTCACTTGGTACATCGAAAGGTACTAATCCTTTTATTGTTTTCTATGGGAAAAACACCACTGTATTAACTTTGAATTTTTTGGTTAAGTTTAAATTGCCACACTTTACAGAGAGATTAAGAAAAAAGGTATTTGTCCTAAAATAAAGAGAGATGTTGACACCTCTGTGAATTGCGAATTTTGCCTTTTGGTGTGTGCAAAATTTAGTCATACTCTACAGAAAAGTACCAAAACCATGCCATTATGACTGACACTTATTTTTCTCAAGAAAATACACAAAATATCTGAAATTAAATTCTAAATAAGAGTACCTTCACTGGTATCATTTGTCAAGGAAGTAATTGTTTCACTTCCCTTCAGGTTATCGTGTGTTCCCTTCAAGACATCTTATGAACGTTAAGACTTGAGATTTCAGTAACTTTATGAAAATTTCAACTGTCTGGTCAGTAGTTCCCAAGGTCCTCCTTATTACCCTTTTCAAAAATGGTGCAATATTCCCTTTTCTCCAGTCATTGGGGACTTTACCTGACTGACATGACTTTTCAAACGTGCTTGAGAGTGACTTGGCAAGTACATCAGCCAGTTCCCTCAGGACTCTGGGATGCATCTCATTGAGTTCCGTATATTTCTGTATGTTCAGGTTCCTCAGGTGGTCTTGAACCTGATCTATGATGGGAGGGACTTCATTCCATCAGTCACTGCCTTGACATCCAGGCACTTGAGAGATCTGGGAGGAGTGTTTACCATTGAGACAAAAAACTGTTGAGTACCTCAGCCTTCTCCATGTGCACTGTCATTACTTCTCGTGTCTCATTTATCAGGGTGTGCGTTTGTGTGTGTGTATGTATTTTCTCTAATCTTCTTCTTCTGACCAACATACCTGTAGAAGTCCTTATTATTCTTCACATTCCTTGCCACATTCAGCTCAAACTGTGCTCTAGCTTTCCTGATCCCATCCCTACGCATCTGAGCAGCATCCTGATATTCTTCCCAGGATATATGTCCCTGGTCCCACTGCCTAAGCATTTCCTTCTTACACTTTAGTTTGACTCGGAGGTCTCTACCCAGCCATGCTGGTCTCCTGCCTTCCTTGCCGATTTCTTACACATGGGAATTGAGAGCTCTTGCAATCTAGGAAAAAGGTCCTTAAAGAGCAGCCAGCTCTGTCCTGCTTCTTTATCCCTGAGGGCAGTTTCGCAGTGGGTCCCATCCACTAATTCCTCAAACAACTGAACTTCGCTCTCCTAACATTCAGGCTTTTGTCTTCACCTGGCCCATGCCCCTCAAGATTGTGAGTTCTACCAGAGAATGATCACTGCAGCTCAGGCTGCCATCAATCTTGACCTCTTTAAATAGTTCATCTATGTTGGTAAGCAACCAACAATATTTCTCTGGTTGGGCTGTCTATAACCTGGATTCAGAAATTCTCCTTGATGTTCTGTAAGAGTCTCTTGGACTGTTTATAGCTTGCTGTGCTATTTTTCCAGCAGATGTTGGGTTATTGAAGTCCCCAAGCAGTAACAGAGCCTGCAAGTGTGATGCTTCCTGTAGCCGAGGTAAGAATGCTTCGTTAGTAGGCTCTCCTTAGTTGGGCAGTCTGTAGTAAACACTAGCCATGATGTTTCCTTTGTTGGCTTGGCCTCTAATTTTTACCCATATGCTCCCAACCTGTTCACCACTGTCTTTCAAAGACAGCTCTGTGAAGTCAATCCATCTTCTTTTATATAGGGGGCATTTGTTTCCTTTTGATGTAAAATGGTTTCAAAAGGTGTTACTTATTAACCATCTTCTATGACCCTCTAAAAGTGAAAGGAAAACACATTTAGTCTCAGTGGTCTCTGGTCTCTAATATGGGATCAGGCCCTCAACTGGCTTCCCTTGAAATTAGAAATTACACAGTTTAAGGATTTGGTTCAAGGTATTTTAAAACTATTATCATTGTCAGAAATGAGGGCTTCAAAATTTTCTATTATTTGTCAGATCTCATCTGCTTTCCCACACCCTGCTCCCCAAAAATGTGATCCCACATGCCTTTTTTTTTCACTAGGAAACGTATTTCATAAAGAAAATCAGACGGAACATAACACACCTATGGACTTGATACCTACAAGAGAACCTGCAATTACAATGTCATGCAGAAGCTGCGGGTCCAGAGGGTCTATATCCCTGAAGCAGCTTGATCGCATATTTGAGAATAATGATACAACTACTCCACTCCTTTAATTCAGCTGAAAATACATAACTTCTCTCATTTCCAATAAGCAAAGAAAAATTTCAGGGTTTAGATTGTAAGTCATTTGTATAGTTATATACCATTAACCAATCTTACTAATTCGTTATGAGGCCTGGACCTGTCATGCCATTATACAAGTATCATACAAATGAGCTCTCTGATGTCAATGCCTGGTGTATCTCTTATACAAAAGTACTGTAATCTTCCTTTTTGTATCCTACATTAAGAACTTTTTTTGAAAAAACCTTTAACACCTGTCAAATATAAATGAAAATTTAGCGTCAGAAAAGCCATTATCTTAGACCACAGGAATCTAGATAATGCTTGAAACAACTTTTTTATATCTGTTCTTACAATAATTTTTTTAAAGTAACTGACAATGAACCAAGTCTCATGTCAATACAGTTAAAACCAGGCAGAGTTATCACTGCTAGTTTATTCTTTAAAAATAATATCAAAATTCTTTCTCACAATATTAATAAGCTTATGCTTTAGGAAGTATTATCAAATTAAATAAACACTCCCTCCCCTCTATACTGCTACAAATAATTCCTATTCCTAAATAGTCTACTGATGAAATAAGAATCACAATCTCTTATGCATTTTCTCACATAACTTCAGGAGGGAAGAATACCTAATGCTTGGCTATATGACTGCTTCTACCTCCCTACAGAGAAGAGACAGGACAGACCTCGACAGATTAATCGATTCAGGAAGTGCAGTTGCGAGTTATACCCTATTTTTTCTCCTAGGATGCCAGAGCTCCTGTTACTGTGGTGTATGTTGATATACCTCAGATAAAGAAGATATCTGAAGTGTTCAGGTAGAACTCTAAGATTTGCTTCAACAGCACAATCATCCAATGATGCTACTGATGTTAAGCTGTGACTCTGCTTTCTGACCACCAAGTAAAGCCAGACAAGGGCATTTCATTTTGACTCCCTCTGTATTAGACCTGTGCTGTACAATGGAGATCAAATCTTCCCTCAGGTTGAATTACCTTCCACTTTGTAAGCCACAGCTCTTCGTGTACACTGGATTAAATTGTGTTTACAAATGTATCTCTAATTATACAATTTCTAATTGTATAATGAGCTATATTAATCCTCAAATGTGTATATGAGAATTAGCAAAACAAAAATAGTGTTGGCCTATATTGATTCATTTCAAGCACAGAAATGCAGAGAGCGAAGTACTATGGAACATAAAATCAGCATACAGAACTGTAAGATAGAAAACAAATCAGAAACACAAGAGAATTTAATCTGTATTATATTTCACATTTTTAAACACAGTATTTTGAATACTGTTTCTAAGATGAAAGATTTATGCCTTCTCCCCAAAACTTTCATTATGTTTCTCTTATTTAAAAAGTTACTCCTTTTCAATTCAAATTTGTATGCTTTCAGAATAAACCTCCTATAAGTGAAGAAAGTTTAAATACCTTCCACTAGTAAAAAAAAAAAAAGGTGCAACAACACAGGTTTTAATTCAAAATACTGTTTAACAGACCTGTTCCTGCTTTCCCATAAAGGCTTAACAAAAAAATATTGCAATGAAACACTGGCTGATCCTCATTCAGACTGACATTAGCAAAATTAAGAAAAGTAAAATCAAAGTGACAAGCAATTAAGAGTCGATTATGTGCTAATTAGCACCTTTCAAAAATAAGCAGCATGACTGACATTATTTCATGGCCGTGAAAAGCATTACATTCTTTTTGCCTTTTGCAAGGTAAGGGATGAATCAATTTGCCACTCATCAAAAGGAATTAATTTCCTAAATACAAGTCCAACATTTATTTATTTTTGCTTTATTTAAAAAATCAAAAATAATAGTGTTTCAGTTGTCCACGTATGTTAACATAGTAGACACATAGGGAAAAAAAGCTTGGAAAATTTAGAAAATGTCACTGAAATGTCAGTTATCGATTTGACATTCTTACATATTCATGTGTATGGTTCATTGGGGAACAATGAAACAATCCAGATCTCTAAAATCTCCTGTGATATCTTAACAGCGCAGGTACAGACCTCCTGATAAACCAAGAGTCACCCACTGATGTCTTACACTAATTAATATTCACCATCTTCAACATTCTCTCAACTGAAGTACTGAGAACACTCAGGTAAAACATTTCTTACAATGTAGGTATTACTTATGAGCAGAACTCATAATAGTGATTAAAATAGGGAATTTTTCATTCCATTGTCCTATTTCTCATACTAAGTCTCTCTCAATTTAAACTTAAGCAGAGCATGAAACAGCATCAATCTTTGAGACCCCTTCCAATCCAAATCATTCTATGATTCTATGATTCTACGATATTTTGCATATTCTCTTAAACCCTGTAACATTAATAGTAAAAAATTATACTCCCTTACACAACAGCTTTAGAAATCACTAAAAAAGAAAACCTTTTTTTCAACAAAAGACAATTTCAAAGAAATGAAAAAAATAAAAAAAAATATTGTGATTAAATTTGTCCATTAAAACATTCAGACAATTCAAAATAATGCAAAGCAATACTTTTCTGCTTTCTTAGTCTAATTTTAGAACGTTTGTTTGACTTTATTGATGATTTGCTATACGTTGGTCAGCGTCGTTTTTTTGTTGTCTGAGTACAAATCATTCCATGTTTCAGCATAAAACTCTTTTCATTAGTTTAGTGCTTTCCATAAGAAAAATTGAAAATGTTAAAGTATGTGGAATTTTTCTTAAATCATCTAAACACATTCTTTGAAACATTCTGTAAACAAAACGAGATGAGACAAAAAGTACCAAATAAAACCTGTACGAAGAATGGTACTATAACCATTCTTTTATTTTGTTATTTCTACAGAATTTCTTTAGACGTATACTTCACAGATTTTTTTTTCCACTCAGAGTTTCGTTTAATCACGAAAGCATGTTTTACTTTTCAGTGCTGACCAAATCAAGACATGAACACTAGAACATATGACATTTACCTAAATAACTGTGAGCTGGTTTTTCTTCCACAACTTTGATTCTCCTTGCTCCTGCAGGTATCACCAAAGCTTCTACATAACCTAGACACGAGAGCAGATATCCTGAGTTAAATACAAAAGCATAGAAAAGTACATCTTGCATTTTTTTTTAATTTCTTCTCCCTTATTTTGCTTTTTAAATGTAACAAGTTATAATTTATATAGCAATGGTTTGAAGCTTCTTGCAAAATGTTGAAACAAGCTATGAAACTGTCCATTATGTGTAATGTATATACCCTGATATACAATTAAAAGACTATAGCAAACTAGACACATAACAAGAACTAGTGAGATTAGACAGGTTGAGGCTGGAGCAGATGAAGTTGTCTCTGGTCAAGCAGTTTAGTGTCATCATCACCACCAGGTGATGATCATAAAAGAATTCCAACTTCTCTTAGCGTAAAGAGACAAATAAAAACCAAACATCCTCCTACTGTTTGATTATTTTTTTTTAATATCTTGTGCTCCATCTCCCTCTTCTTCCTAGAACACATTAAAACCCTGTTATGAATGGCTTTAGTTTTTAAGTCTACTTATTAGTTATTTGCTTTACATTACAATTGCTTCCTTGAAGTGTGGGACTAAGACATGCTCTTGAGCAATTTGCTTTAAGTAAAAAGGACTGAAAAGGCAATACAGGTGAAAAATACTGTGCAAGTAGGTATGTTATAAATAAACAAAAACATATTTTAGATTATCTGGGTGAACTTCAAAAAGTGGACAGTAAACCAAGTTTTTATTTCGTGTAACTATGTAATGTTCTATAACAAAACACTGAGCATTTACAACACCTTTCCAATAATCCTGAAACATGAAAATTAAATCGCTGCAAAGCAGCATTACTTATTTTTAATTTCCTTACAAACTAATTACACTTTCTAAGTATTGCTGACAGTCCAGCTTCTTGAGAAGGAAAATAACTTACACAGTTGTTTAGAGGGCAATACCACAATACTGTAGATTGGCACAGAACCCTGAATAAACTTGAAAATGTGTGGATATTCACCTTAGCTATAAAAAAGAGCTGACACATTGTAATCTCTATTAGCAGTCACCTTCTTTGTAGTTTTCGATCTTGTAGTCCTCCAGACTCATTCCTGGTTTGAGATCCCTGCTCTGCATTACTTTCAGCTTAAGAGAGGGCCAGACATAAACATCTGAAGACTCTGCCTAACTTTTTTTTTTTTTTAATGTACTATACTTCAGTCTATAATGCATTGAAGTCCTTAATTTTTTAAAGATATACTGTCTGCTTCTAATTACGCTTATTTTTTGATGTGATTTACTTACTGTCTTGAAATTCTGCGCAATTTCTATTCAAGAAACTGAAAGCGTAATGGCAAACAAATGCTGAAAACAGTTGGCCAAAGCTGTTTCAAAGAAAAGACTTTTCTTGGAGAGAAGGTATCCATGATGCATTATTAGGATTTCAATTCTCTACTCTGTCAACACTATTGTGCTGGAGCCAGCTCATTCAAAGAACAGATCACAGCACTATTCGAAAATCTGATGTTCATTCTGCATTAGAAAACCTATTTGCTTTTTATGATATGCTATTATTAGTATAAACCAATGAACAATGAAAAGATATAAGACTTTTCATTCAGCTTTATGTTCTCCCACCGCCTGGCTTGGTTTAATGACATTACTCTAGGTGACAGATCATAATTTGGATATTTATACTGAAGACTACTAAATGAATCTAAGCACTATAAGAATTTACAGTTCATTTATTTGCTAAAAATATAAAATTTATTTCACAGATTTTTTAAAAAATCAGGCTCTTATGAAATAATGTGTGTCTTAATGGAAGATAAATTAGATAATTACTTAATTTTATAATTGAAACAATTTGTAATAATTTTCCAACAATTAAATTTAAAAATACTCATGCATTTTTATGCTAAATGTCTTATCTTAAAAAAAGTAGGTATGAAGTTGTTGTGAGGAACTGAATGATTTTAAGAAGTATAGCTTTTTCAAGTTCCTAATACTCAAAAGTAATCAAAGAGTATTAGGTTTCCTGAGTATTCCAAATAAACAGACTTACCTGCTCCTCTAGTATGATTAAAATCACCTTTAATAACTTTGCATGATTTTCCGTTACCATTGCATACACCGCAATGATCTTCACGAGCCAGAGATCCCAATATGCCATCACAGCCAAATTTCTGTGGGACAAGAAAATAAAGCTACTGAAAGATAGGCCATGTTTTCCATAAGGCTGCCTTTAGTAGTGGGCATCTCACTCTTTTGCAAGACACCCTAACCAACATGATCTATCCCTGCTCAGAATGAGAGTTGCACTAGTTCATCTGCAGAGATCCCTTCCACACTAATTTCTTCCACGTCTTTATGTAGATTGTTGCATTTACTCTTCCTATATGGTTGGCTAACTCTACCATCTGCTCTCCAAGAGGAACACAATGGCATCCCTGGACCTCTGCTACTTGGGAGCCACTGTGCAACACTCCCCCCACAGACCCTCCTGCTCAGCGATTGCAACGTATGCAACTCTACTGCTTTCTACTTAAAATATAAGAGGTTCTTTGTCACGCTCACAATGGTAAAGTGTTGTCTAACATCAACCTAAAGTCTTATTCTGATTAGGACATGAACATGTCTGGAACATGTAAATATAAATAAATATTTACATTTTTCTAAAAAGCATTCAGATTAAAACAAATTACGTTTACTCAAGCACCTCCACATTACTATGTCAGACAGATTTCTAGCAATAAATATCAGTGGTAGCCTGACAACAGGAATACAGTTAATATTGTATGATGGTCTGACATGAAATAAAAGCCTTTTAAGGAGTAGAGAAGTTGTCACAGGGTAATCTTGTGCACTACATAAACGCATCTGATAAAACCATTTAACTTTCAAGACTTTTTGTAAATAATGAAAATAAAAGTTAGGTTAAAGAGAAAATGAAGGATTCCTTTAAGAACAGAAACTATGGTCTATCAAGGAGACACTCATTTCCAAGCACATTAAGATTTTTACTTCCCTTTACACACAGAATTTTTATTTGAGTTCTTCTATCTAAAAAAGCAATACAGATTTCAAAATACTGATTACAGCAAAAGCATTCCAAAAACTGTGTATCCAAAACAGTACATAGAAGATACAAATATTTAATTCTACAGCCATAGTCCCCAAAGCTCTTCCTAATGGGTTTACAGAGTAAAATGGGGAAGATCTTACAAATTAGACTCAAATTTGATTAGCTCCTATCTCTCTGATCCCTTCTTGATACGCCAAGAAGTCAACTCAGTCTTAGTCAGGTGGGTTTGGTTTAAGCCTTTTTTTTGTTTTTTTTATTAGTCAATTGTGAAAAGTGAATGATGAAACTTTTTGCCCAGAGAAGCTGTGGATGCCCCATCCCTGGAAGTGTTCAAGGCCAGGTTAGATGAGGCTTTGGGCAACCTGGTGTAGTGGAGGATTTCTCTGCCCATGGCAGGGGGGTTGGAACTAGATGATCTTTGAGGTCCCTTCCAACCCTAACCATTCTATGATTCTATGATTCTATGAAACAAATGACATTTTTTCAGGAAAATGGGCTATATATCATCTTTGTGATTAAACAAACCTGTAATTCTTACATGGTGACCTAAAGCCCCAGTTCAGCCAAGTATTTAAGAGTATGCTTGTTGCACGTACTCAGTCACTCGATAAAGGAAAACTATATTTACATATATGTATTTGTTTGCATGCATCTGTAAGTTAGTTTGAAGTTATTATAGCACCTAGCAATGCTGTTTCTGTGTTAAAGGTTGGGTTTTCTACTGAATTTGATGTGTGCAATGAGAAGCAAACAAAGGAAAAAACAGCCCTGTGTGTTTTTTATACAGAAGTTTCCATATGAGGCACTACAAAAGCCACAAAAGAACTTCTATGAACCAAATGAACTCTGAGGATCACAGTGTAAGCACTCAGTTTTAGTTATCTGTTATTTCAGTCCTTCAGTCTCGGTTTATACAGAGGTAGAATTTTTTGCTCTTGAAAATGGCAGAGTTAGACATACATACATATGCCCCATGGCAAAATTTCCCAACGTGTTGAAAGCTGACGCTTTCCTTCGAAGATGAAATCAGTTATACTCATTTTCCACTCTGCAGCGGTTTGTTATAAGCATCCTTATCATCACAAATACACATTTTCCAAGCTAACCCTTCAGTTGCTTCACATACTGTCTTGCACTGAGTGAAATTAGCTTAGAGCATTTTAATATGATACAAGAAGAGCCATTCAGTCTTGGTCATGCATATTGCAACATGCTATTAGGGAAATAACACATATGTGTAACAAACATATGCGCTTGCATACATGTGCCTGTGTATCCCGGTTCAAAACAAGTGAATCATACCTGGCATTTACCATCTGCACAGACATCTAAACCATTCTGCCCACAAGAAGTTCCATCCATCACCTTTTCTGTTAGTAGAATGGGTTGATCCTTTCCAGCCAGTGAACAGAACAAGGCACATGGCTTTTCTGTAGTAGGAATTGATGGAAAACACCACCAAATTGATAGAAGGACATTTAACAAATACAGAATTATTATTAACATTATTTTTAAAACTGGTATTTGCTTATCTGTATGGCATGAATCTATGTTATCACAGCAAGTTATCTTAGATACAGTGTAAACAAAAAGATTTTGATCCTTTTCTCAGTTGTTTGAAAAACTCAAGTTCATTTTTCTGCTAGAGCATACTGGTGCTACAAACTTGGCCTACACAGTACTCATGTCATGTTCATTGTTGCAATTAAGAATATGCACATTACAGCTGTTGGAATATTTTGATTGTAATCTATACTTTCATTCTACTATATTTTTGGTAGATCATAAATATTGGTTAAAAAAGAAACTTAACACTTTCCAGATTTTCTAACTATGCAGGTCAAAGAGAAAAAAATTATGTAACTGAGACACCCTGAGAAGAAAAATACACAGATTTACAAAGTCCACATTAAAAAAAAAAAGACAAAATATGAAACACCTTCTTTCTAACATCTTTACCAAGGTCAGATAATTTTCTACTAAATTTCTAAAACATTCTGCAAATAATTTCTAATTTTGAAAGAGAACAGAAAAGTAATAATATTCTATCTATCCATGTATTCCTAATGATCATCATTTATAAATTATGAAGTTGGCTGCACCACTGCCAAAGTAGTACCAAATAAAATAAACTAAGTCTCCTCTCAGTGGTCAACTGAGTACAAAATGACATGATTTTTTCATATCTTTATTCGCAAGTGTATTGACGCAGTACTTCTTCCTAAATCTGTTGCAGATTTTTGAAAGGATACAGCCAATCCTGAACTTGAAACTGATTTCACTTGGACACAATCTATGCCACTCTGACTTCACACTGACTTCTAGGTTCCTGGAGTGTATTTTTACTAGTAAATTAAACAGTTCCAGGAAACGTTCATGGGCACAGGAATTCTACTGTCTATACAGCTGAACTATAAAACAGTCTATGCCACATTTTTTTGCGTGTGCTAACTAGCACTAGCTCGGTCTAGACTGAAAATTGCCACCTGCAAAGGACCATTTCCAAAAAGCAGTTTGGATGTCACTATCCTTCTCAGAGTGCAAAAGACCTGAAAAGTACAGACACAGGACTTCTGTGCCAGTTGACTTACACATCAGAGAGCGGTCTGGTCACGTGTAATTTACTAAAATTGACACAGCCTCTGGGGATCTCTAGGGGACTGGTGCAAATAGATGTGATCTCTTTTGCCAACATGTGAAGCCAGCCAGACACAAGTCATCTCCAGTTGAGAAGCCTGAGTCTCTGCCTGAGTATTCCTGCTACACTCCTTCAATAGTAATCCCAAAGTCCTCTGGGAGCTTTAAGCATATATCAGCATTTTTTTAAAGGAATACAAGATTAACAACCTAAACGATATTTTAAGGACACTGAACTCAAAGAGACAGTAATTCAACACTGGACAACTTCAACAGGCTGTAGGAGACCTCATTCAAATACGGCAAGTATTTTGGACATGGTGCACAATTAGTGTCTACTAAAGGCTACGAGTGCAAATAATTAAGGATTTGGGAACAATGTATTTCTGTAACACTGGAACTCTTCAGCTGGTGTCCACTTTTGTGTCCCCTGAGGGACACCTCAAGCCAAGAGGATCTCTCAGAAAAAAGTTAGATGAAAGCAACCATCTGTACTCCCTAACATAGGAAGAACAGTGTTGAGATTTTTCGTCAGATGACTGAATTGTTCAAAATCATGAATTTCTGCCAAAATCAAACACTGGTATGTGAAATACCCAAGTGTTAAACTAGAATTCTTCTCTCCTTCGTCAAAACCAGGAGCTCACAATAACTACAGTGATTTTTTGGCTTTGTAGGTAGACATATAACTGATATATGCATGCTTAATGATGTAGCTCCAGAAAGCTGTATTTCTGAGTCATTTCACATCACATTTCTGATTAAATAGGATCAAACCGATATTGAATTTCAGTTCAAACGCAGTCACTACACATCAAGAAGGATAAATTCAATAGGAATTCACAATAGGAATATAAGACAAAAGATTCTGGAGTGTACAAGAATACCATTAAGTCTTGCCTATGAAATAAAATGACTAACCAAAAATCTTGGGCTTGGGGTTTGTTTGCTCATTCACTTTAGTTTCTACCATATCTTTCTTAATAAACAACAATACCAACAAACTATAAGCCATACGAGCAGAGGATGAAGAACATGGGAGATTGTTTATACTTACCATCATCGATGACAGCCTGCCACTGGTGCACGTGCTTCTGATACGAAGATCTGACACCGAAAGCCTGACACTGCCAGTCCCTGAAGGCAGGCACACCAGCAGGACAAGAAGGATTTTCACATATTCTATACTGCATAATGGGACTGTGACACTCTCCTTCAAGGCCTGAACTAGAAAACATAGCATAAATGTCATACTTTATTGTTGTAATATTTTGTCAAAATTACAGCATAGTTTATTTATGCTATACACAAATTCAATTTAAATAGCAGATTTTTTGCTGACATTAAGAAACGTTAAGAAATCACCCACAAAAATCAAAGTCACAGAAGAATACATGTTTGACTTCTGCTTGTACTGGTTACATTACATATAAAGAGTTCTGGGTGCTAAACCGTAATTTATACTTGGCCCCAAAGAAGCGCTAGGACCAGCAGGAGCATTCAGTAAGGAGAATCTCAGCTGCAGTTTCGATATAGTTCAGGTGATTTTTCTCTAGCTGAGAAAATTATTTTTCTCACTGCACCAAAGGTGCCACTGAAAGGAAGTAAAACCTGCAGATTTGCCACCTCTCCTTTTTTACAGTTTTGGTGTTGTGAAGTTCAGACAATATGCTTTATTTCTTTTTGGTTGCTCCAGTTGTGCTTGCAGGTGCTAGTGAACAAATGTAAAAGAACAGCAAACTGCAGAAACTGAAGCTAATTATTTGGAATCTTGTCTGGAAAAATGAATGAATGAAAGTGAAATTAAGACATCGCTAAATTCTAGAAATAGCTTTTAGGCTTATAGCTGGAAGAGGTGTTTAGATGGCAGGAAACATGAAAGCACTCTGCTTATCTAAGGCTTCTGTTAAACTATCATGCTTTTGCATAGCCGTATCCAAGTTTTCCTCACATTTCTTTATGCGAACTTCTCTTTTTCAATCCTTCTGTCTTTCCTGTCACCATTTTTTGTCCCCAATCTGTCATACTGTCTTTCATCTTTCTTCATTTCCCCCCTTTATTACTTTCCTAAATCATCTGCTTTACTTTATTCTCCCCTCCTCAACTCTGGTCTAGTCTATTCTTCTCTACACTTGTCTTCATGACTCAGCTTTACTCTGTTCCCACTTCTCTGCCTATTTATTCTTTTTCTCTTGGTGTATAAATGACCCATGAAAGAGAGATACAGTGCTGAGTAATTAAAAGGAAAACATCTTTTAGCTGACCACTGAGATATGGTGAAACAAACTCCATCGAAGCCAACGGTAAAACGCCCTTTATGCCCAATGGCATAAAGTTTTCATTTTCACAAGATATGGAATCTAAATGTTGTTTCGAGATATTCTATCTAAATGTCCGTGAAACCAGTAGAACAACCTCTTTGTAAAAGTTGCGATTCCTTGGCTCTCCAAATGAGACAGAAGTCAATTTTCTCCAGCAAAAAAATGAAAGACTAGAATCACATGACACTCTGTAAGTTAAGAGTTAAGAATTTTTCTGTTACTTCTTCAAGTGAAGCTTAGAGAGAACATTGTATTCTCCTATTAATATTATCTAAGCTTTTGATAGAAGAAGAAAAGAGGAAAAACAGTGTTACCATGCAATAAAAAACCTGAAATATGTATTCTCCTGTTTTTCAGTATTCATAAAAAATGAATTGCATATATATAGAACAACTATATCTTAATGGGTTTCTGTACTCACAAGATTTAAATTCTGTTAGAAATTCTCATGAACAGCAAAGGAAACTTGAATTTGTTTTTACCCAGGGCATTTACGTTGTCGACTGCTGATTCCAGTGTCGCAAGTACGGCTACAAGTGCTCCATGCGCTCCACTCCCCCTCCACATGCTCCGCAAAAGAGGTCCGATTGATACACTCTCCAGCCTTACACCACTAGGTGAAAATTCAGCTCTTAAGTAAATAAATCAAGGCATATGCAAAACAATTCGCTGCTCCACAAGCACAGGGGAAGCACAACAGACACATTTTACTCAATACATACTTTTCATATGAGTCAGATATATTTCCTCCTACTGCTCCCCATAGATTATTTTTTCTATCCTCATAAATATAGCAACCAGCAACCTTTTTCTGGCTCAGTGGCCAAGGAGCAGGTGCAACTCTTGTCCACAGCTTGAGCGCAAGTTCATTCCCAGTAAAGGATGCCTCCTGGAATAGTCTGCTGGAAATGGTCCCCAGATCATGCTGTCCCCCTCACCTGAGCCTGGGCACTGCCTAGGAAAGTGCTTTTGGGTCCAGCCCAAACCTACTGCAGGGATTATCCTCTAGCTGAACTGTACAGATGATCACGGCGCACTGTTCAGGGCTGTCTTCAGGACTTGTTTGGTTCACTATTACAGTGTCCCCATAACTAGCAGGGACTGCATGGTCACTGATTATCCAGTGACGATTTCAACATAAGGATATATTAGAAGTAAAAGAGAAAACAAGATTTTATTCACAATTTCTGTTCAAAGAGAGAATGGAAGCCTTGATAAGCTAGTGTTGAGAAAGTCAAGAGAATTTCTGCATTTATTTAAGTAATCATAGAATCATAGAATCGTAGAATGGT